TAGGTATTTCAAGGTTAGCCTGAAAGGGAGATATTTTAGATTATTTTTGGCCTGAATCTGTCTTTTATCCAACATACTTTTGAGAAATCCTTTTTTATGCAACGATCTTGATCTATATAATCTGATGTCTCTGAATAAAACAGAAATATCATTAAAGCCATTTTCTGTAGTATCACACCTACATATTTGCATTCTCTTCAATAACAGGGACAAAAATCAAAGCCTATTTGGTCTGGGTGCGTGTATCTCACTAAATCATCTCCTGTTGTAATACATTTCTATCCAGAACAGGAGATAACCGTTCCTGTCGTAAATTTATTACTGGACTAATATCAACACTAAACTCCTCTCAGTTTTTTTTTTGTTTTTAATTTGCTGTAAGCCCACTTGGCCCTTCTGTCTTACTTGCCTTTGGATTCTTGAAAATTTTATTTCTCTTTGGTGGGGGGAAGGTTAACCTGGAATATCTTTAAACTTAAAACATTGTTTCAAAAGCCTCCCTAAATGATCTTGAAGGACAGTAGTATGGGAAATATTTTAAAACTATTAATGAATTTGACCTAAGAGTCTGTAGTCATTTTTAAAGAGGACTTGCACAGTACAGGGGGAGTTACAAACTAGTGAGGTCTGCACAGGGGAAAATCAAACCGAAAGTGATACTCCCCTTTCCCAGTAGTTATTAAATCTTATAGTGTAGGACACAGTCCATCTTTCCTTGTTGGTTGGTTGTAATTCTTATTTTTGAGACAGAATGAATCAATCAGTAGGTACTAACTGAACATCGGCAAAATACACAGCTCTAAAACATTACCTTTTTCACATCTTTTCCTGCACTTACCTCCTCCGTCGAATACAAAGGAACAAATTCAGCCTTTCACGAGTAGCCATAATTTCTACTGAAGCTTAATTATGCTAAAAGTGGATTTGGCTCAAAAAGCAAATTAAGGAATATTTTTCACACTCTCTAAAATTCATTTTACTACCGCTGCATAAAAAATAAAGATGGGATTTTTATTAAATGACATGCTTCAGACATTTGGTTTAGATTTTCAATAAATTGCCACCATACTTTAACTTAGCCAAATATCCTTTTAAGATCTGCTTACAAAATGACTAAGCTTTTGGTTTTTGATAGCAAAAGTTGATAAATCATATGGCAGTAGATAATATTTCTACTTTTGACTGTTCTAATATAAAAACATTGAGATTTCTTAATTTTTTTTTATGTAAAAGTTGTAGTACTATTTCAACCGTAACCCCTCTCAGTGCTTCTACATTGCCAACTTTATGCTTTTTCATTCCATTGCAGTGTTAGCTTTTGCACAGATAATTTCAATTTTAGGAATCTGTTACTCACTTTTGAGTATGGCATATATGTTTTCCTGTTACCAGTTTTTGTTGAAATTGCTTTAGAATTTTAAAACTAATGTTGCCTACTTCTTTTAACTTTGAGACATATATTTTTAATATTATGTACTTCTGTGAGTTGAGATTGTTTCAATAATTTTTTTATGTTTTTTTTTCCTAAAAAGAAATAATTTGTATTTTATCTGGAATGTCCTCATTGTTTTCCAACAAAATCAAGGTTTCAGGATAATGGCTAGAACCTAATAAGGGAAAAGAGGTTGAATATTTAGTACAAGATGTTGTTTGTCTTATTAGGCTTTGGAATTAATTCCACAAAAAAAAAAAAACAAAGAATTAAATACACTGAGTACCTATTCCTTCAGCGGCTCAACTTTCAGCCCTTGTGATTTAGTAACTTCATTAATGCTCAAATCATCTTTAACAGTTTCCAGTCTGCGACTCTGGAATATACAAAAGCAAAGAAGAAAGATCTTTTGATAAAAGTGCTCCAAGGATAATAATTAAAAAAAGTTATGGATAATGAAAAAGAAGTGGAGCCCTTTCTCTTTGTGTTTTGTCTTTAACAGTTATGAAAAATTATTTAAATTGAGTTATATTGGCAGTGGAATTGACTGTTGTTGATGCAGGAACCCAATAGTGGGCAAAGCTGTCATCAAATTGAGGTACTTGATATTTTGGTTGAGTTGATGTGGGGAAAATCTAAAGTAGCTGCTAAACTGTAATGGTGTGTGTCTTTCTCTACATTGAAGCAGCACCTGAAACGCATTTTTAAGTGGGAAAAACAAAGTCCTGCTACCTCAATGTATCTTTGTTCGGCATGTAAAATCTCAGATGACTTTAAGAGCACTGCAAAAGTAGTGAAATACAGCAGCCCTACTCTTGGTAAAGATGAACGGCCTCAGTTGTTGCATGGAAAATGCAGAAGTTGTTTGAAAATTGTGGGGTTTTTTTATGTTCAAATATTTGTTGTGGGGTTGAGATACAATCATTGGGAGAAATTTTCAGGATCTACTTTTGCTTTAGTACCTAGAAATTTCAAAGACAATTTTGCACCACATTAATTCCGCTAGTGCATTAAGTGTGATTAAATATTAAAGTGCATTAAATGTTAAAACACTTGATATGTGGGGGAGGAAGGGAAGGCAAAGCTGTAAATCACATTTTGTTTTAAATGGCTACTTAGATAAAGCACGTTATGACCACCCCCGAATATCTGTCTTCTCCCAAAGTCTTTGGCCACCGCTTTCCCCTCCTA